GCGACATTAGACCTCGGGATCTGCTAATTTTGGTGTCGACCTTTTTTGCTTTCCCACGTGGACATCGCAAATTCGTACGATGTGTGATGGGCTCATTCGCAGCGCCCATTACCCATTCCCAGACCAGAGAAGTCAATCGATGGTTTTTGGCTTGAGACTTGGGATGCAAGCATCTGATCGAGATTGGCATGGGGCCCCCGAACTCTGCCTATGAGGTATATTTCTCGCCGCTCTAAATGCAGACAACCCTTTCACTTTTTCTTTCTTTTTCGCTCACGTTATCCGCTGATCTTAATTGTTGCTAAGATGCTGGAAGAGACGGGAAGAAGATCATCACCGAGGATGCGGATGTGCCCCCACTTCCCAGCGATCCGAGAATGATCAACCAAGGCAGAAGAAAGAAAAGCTTTAAGTCTTTTTACTTCTTGGAAAGAAAAGGTATGTAGCTTCGGGACGTGAGGTTCCATAACCATTCTCGCCACGGTTGCCCGTTCCCCGCTCTTCAAAAGTTTTTTTTTTTTTAATCCTCTCACCTCCCAACATCTCGTCGCTTTTTAGGATGTTTGCAATTGGGAGGCAACTGCTCGCGTGAGGCTCACAATGAAAATTCGCTTCATTCGACGTCATCCTACCCCTGGATCCTTTTCTCTGCGACCCTGTGAATTGCTTTTGCGCTCTTATCTTGGCACCCATGTCCACCACCTCTTGTTTTCCCTCTCGCTTCCTTTTCGCCTTCCCCATCTTATGTCCATGGCTGAAAAGGGATGGGATTAGCCCCCTGGTGCAGCAAGGTTCGTTTCTGCCGTGCGGGGACGCAAGCAAGGTTCATGTTTCTCGACGCAAGCAGCGGCACCCACCAGCTTTTTGTCTGGTCTGCCGTTGCATTGGTGTTTTCTTTTGTTTTTTTCCTTTCTTTCCAACCCACTCGATCCTCGAGTCCCCAGGAAAATAATGATGACGGTTCTTTGGAAATCATGCAGTCAGATCGACGTGCATCTGGGTGGTGCCCACCCCTCGAGAATGGTACCCGCGAGAGAGAAGCAAATAGAGAAGGGGGAAGGGTGAGAGGGGAGGGGAGATGGGGAGGGGGGATTCTCAATTGATGAGGGGAAGCTCTGCAGCGGCCATTCCGTACAGTGTCCCCGATTTCGATAGAGCGTCAGTAGGGCTTGCTCAATATTGGACTCGCACCCGCTGGATTGACGTATCCCGTCGACCGAGGATGAAGCTGGCTCTTCCAGCCCAGTTCACCCGCACCCAGCTCTAGTTGGGCGCCCATGCCGTGGTGGTCAGATGAGGAGACTATATTCATCTACGTACGAGAGCCAACCAGCGACCGAGGCCGGGTTGCCAACCCGCCAGCGTGAAGACGGAACACAGGAACACCAGCACCAGATAGATTACCGAGTGAGCTGTAGTGAGATGTGGTATGGAATGTGAGTCCATGGCATTTTCCGAGGAATACAAAGGGGGTTGGAAACAGAATGGCGCAAAGTTATGGGACATGGATATCTACCTGGGGAAGCTTGCGAGTTTGCAAAGGGCCAACACGTCCGACTTGCTCTCACGCGTGGCCGTTTGGCTCTTCAAAGCTCACGCCGGCATTGCTGGATTTTGATATGGGGTTTAGTCCGCCCGGGCCGGGGTTCATTTCCGGCCAGGAGAAGAGGTGCGATTGGTGCTTTTCTCACCTGCTCTTACATGAAGACGTGGGAAGCATGGAGAGTAGCCGTTCTCAGAGAGCTCGCTGTTGCTCTTGGCTACGGTTAAATGCTTCTGGGACATGGACGAACTAAAATGAAGGGTCATAGGGATGTTGAACCGGGCTGACGCGAAAGGGCATCTCTTATCTCTGAGCTTGTTCCCCCTTAGACATACTCTTGCCGATGCCGTTTCAGCATTTCACTCGCCAACCTCGTTTTTGGACGGGGAAACCGTACCTACAGCGGTAAGAGACAGGGAGTGCTTCGAGAACAAACGAACCCGGAACTTGAAACTCACGAGGGTGGTGTAGATGGGTAGGCACAGTAGAGACCAGACCTCATCAGTCCTAGGGTTAGGATGCAACTCTAGTCCCAACTCTAGACATCCAGACCGCCATGAAGATGACGGCGCCTCTTAGCCGAATATGTGCCAAAGGGTTGGCCACTGCGGCCAGGATCGCGGTGTCTAACCGTGCTTCGCGATTGCGAGGTACGCTTCGCGATGTGGGCTAGGCAGAACCTCACCAGAGGCGTGTTGGCCGTAGACCTTGGGACCCCGCTTCAGAACCACATGGTCATGGACTTGGGAAGGGGGCAGGGGAGGGAGGGTCACGGTAAGCTGCAGCAGGCGGTGATCTTTGTTCGGGGAGGCAGGATGCGAGGATCTGCGGAGGAACAATATCCACGCGCGGCCGGAGACATTTTTGCTGCTGCGTCAACCCGCGCCAATCTGGTCTGGCAAAGACTCGTCCAAGCATTGACAAAGAGAGAGGCTTATAGCAGATGCGTCCTAGGCAGCGTGCAGCCCCTGGTTTGATGAAACTGGGCTTTCGAAAAGGCCTGGGCAGATGGTTCTTTTCTCTTTTTTTTTTGTCGTTTTTCCTCTATGCCTCTTCGGTAGGAGGGACGGCGGTGTGGCCCATCTTTGGCCTTGACTGGCGGATAATGGCTCCTGCAAAACTTGGATGCCCTTTGATGGATGGCCGTGGTTTATTCGGCTTTTCTAAGGCATGGCTGACAAGGACCCAAGAGTATTAATCTGGAGTCGAGACAACAGCGTTTGCCACTACCTTCCACAAAGATCTATGTATGTGCTCGTGCTCCGATAAGTTTGGACAACATACAAGACGAAGCTTAACTTGGACCTATAGTCAAAAACCGCACAGACGAGAGGCGATATCAGCTTGTGAATCCTCTCTAGGAGCCCCCAAGTGACTGCTTTCAGACTTTCGAGAGGGTATGATATAGAAATGATGCGGTGACACGAGTGTCTACTGCTGGGCCTGCCGCAAGTGTCGACATAGCCGATACTTCTTCAGGATCCTCCGGATGGGTCGGCTTTCACGAGGCCGCAACGGCCCTCGTGAAGGGCTCGTTACTTCGACCAGCCATTCATTCCCCTTGCGTCACCGACTGTCACTCGTGTCGATCCTAGTCACCACGTTGGGCCAGGGGTCACCTCGACCTCGCCTTTCGGCAAAAGAGCTGGAAAAGGTGGTATGCTAGATACTCTCGGCGTTCCCACCCGGAGGTAAGGAACTAAGCACGATGAAGGCCACTTGCGATGGGTATCGATTCTGTCTGCTCATAATTACGCAGGCTGTTTCGTTGTCAAGCCCAAGCCTTGGTTCTCGTGACCACCGGGGGCCCCTCCCTCTGTTGCCTTGATACCGAGCCCGGAAGAAATGCGAGGAGGCGCCGCCACCTACGGACCTGGAAGTCTCGAGCATGGTGACTAGACATCATATCTCAGCCATGGACAAGGCCTTTTTGGATCCAAAATCTGCCCGCCGCAGCTGAATGATGGCGGCAACATGCGTGACGGACAGCCCTGCCAGTAATCCCAACTCGTGGTCTTGACGGTGCATCTAGGCTGGCTGGACAAGGCCAAGACAGGTAGCTACGCATCGAAGCTCGATTCGCCCATCTCTTTTCATCCTAATTTATCTTGCCCTTCCCCCCTCGCGAGGTCTACTCTTCTCGTCCCACGCCCGCTAACAGACACTCCAGACACGGGTACGGCAACGTGCAGCTTGTCCAAGGCTCCGGTTACCTCTCCCTCTTCACCTCCCGTCGTATTGTCCCATACGAGACCCCTTGTTCTCGTCCAGAGACGGGGACCCGCATAGATCACCGTGCCACCGAATCGTGTTGTCAATCGGCCCCCTTTATTTGGAAGAATGTCTTGCGCGTCGCCGTCTTCCCACCCAGGGCGTTCGAGAGGGCCGTCAACGATGGGGTTTTTTTTTTTTTTTTACAACTTCGGTGCCCCCTCAAGAATCTGAAAGCAAATAGCGAGAGCCTGCTGTTATGGGTGGGATGTGGAGGGAGGGGGCGTTGTGTTACCTTGGATGAGTCGTTCTCGAGCTGGGCTCTTCATTTTTGTCTTGGTGGAGAGAGGCTTTCCTCTTTTTCTTCTTCCAAATACGAATAGATTGACCCTCGGCCAGGCCCGCTCACCCCTACAAGGATGGGAACGAAAAGAAAGCTGGAACAACAGCGAGGAAGGGCATGTGCCTACACGTATGTACACCCCAAAGACAGACACGAAAAAAAGAGGCTTGATGATAGGTCCGCACGATGACAAGAGGCAGGACTGCGGGAGGGCGGGAGATCTCTAGGGCCCCGGCCCATGTCATCCGATCCGCGTTGGCTTCCAAAACGGGCAAAACGAACGGGAGGGAAAGGGGAGACTCTACTAGAAAAGAAAGGGAAGAAAAGGGCCCAAAGGGCGTTGATATTGGATAATCCAATATAATGAACTTGGCTGAACACGCATGAATCCATGGCTTAAGACAAGTCCGGCCCCCTTTGGCTTTCCCCGTTTTCCGTTTTTTGCTCTTCTCCTTTTACATTTGGTCCTCGCCTCCCGTGGATGCTCGGCTTTTTCCAGGGTTCCCTCTCCTCGTGTAAGTCTGGTGGCGGACGGCGCGGCACTCGTTCATAACCCTAAACCACCAAAGCTCCGTGACTGACACGGATGCCTCGCAAACTTGCCCGTCCACGGTACAGTCGCACCATCTCGATACACTCTTGTTCCAGCTTTGTCCTGGCGTAGCCACCAGGAACCTCCTTGGTCTTCGGATATCGAGCATTCCACAAAGGAAAACACAGGGAAAGGGAGAATAGGAAGAGAGTTCCAGTCGCCACAAGAAGGAGAGAGATAACAGGGAGTGTTTCGAAGAGACTTTTAAAAAGATATATCCCAACGAAACGGCGTCGTCGACAGACAAAGATTCAGCACTAGCATCGCATCACTTGTCTTTAACAACTTAGGTCTACCGTTTGCCTTTCACCATGCGCCGTCCTCGAAGGCAGGAGGCGTGTGACGACTCGATCGACCCTTCGACGAAGGAGTGGGGCTCTCTCGCGACGGACGTACGGGACAGCCGAGGGTGTCTCGCCGGCTGCCGCGAGCGTTTCGCCGCCGACGTCCAAGGGCGATCGGTGTCTCGACGGGCCCCGAGCGCCGAGACGGCAGAGGCCCTGTGCGCGGCGCTCGTCGCCCAGGCCGAGAAAAGAACCGAGGGGAGCACGGGGTACGATGTCTTTAATCGGCTGTACTGTTGCGATTCCGTGGTTTGCGGGGTTTGGTACAACGAGACGGCGAGTATATCTGGGCAGGACCGTAAGCTTGCTCTCCTTTCCCTATTCTTTTTCTATTCTTTTTGCTTCATATCCCCTCCCCTTCGGAGTCTCTCCTTTCCGGGCTTTGGGCTTTTGAAAAGTACCTCTCCATCAACCATCGATATTGACGTTTTGTCTTTCCTTTTATCGCGTAGCCAACGTGAACAGCATTATCAGTACGTGCGAAGGGTAAGCTTGAGTCTCGAAAAATAAGCATCACGAACGACTCCGACCAAAAGAGACGATTACTGTAAACTTCTTGTATCTCTAACCCACGCGGCTTCTTAGATTAGGGTACCGTACCCTCCGAGATCCCGGCCTGCCCAAAAACGACTTTACCTGCCCGGACTCCTCCGTCTACCTCCCGGGAGAAAAAAGGCGTGTCCCAAAAACAGCGTCGGCATCGCCGGTTTCGACAGCCCCCATCTCCGACATGGCAGCGCCCCGCCATCGAGCGAGCCAGCCCCGACGACAGACAGGCCGAGCATACTACTTGCTCCCACCACTACCGGCGCCTCCCTCCCGTCTTCCACCATTACAAACGTGGCATTCGACTTCCCGAGCGGCGACGACCTCATGGCTCCCGTGCCGCAGCAAAGCGGGCTCACCTCGGGAGTCAAGGCCACCATTGCCGTCACCTCCATCGTCGGATCCCTCGCCCTCCTCAGCCTGATTCTGTGCCTGCGCCGGCGCGGCACGCATCATTCTTCCTCTCGGCACCTGCTCCCGGCTTCGGTCTCGGCTTCGGCTTCAGTCCCATCGCCGCCGCCGCTGCCGCCGCCGGCACCGCTACTCCCGCAGCATTCGTTTCAGTATGGCCACAGCCTCCGATCCTCGTCTCGGTCAAGATCCAAGCGCGGGGCCGGGGAGGGCACGACCACGAACCCTTCCTCGTTCGACAGCTCGCCCACGCGCGTCGTATCGTCGTCGACCCCGCCCGCCTCGACAGCGACGACGCCGCGACGGTCGACGATAGCGGCGGCCGACATCAACGACATGGATAACGCTAGTAACCGTGACGGCAGCGGCGGCGGCAATATTCACGACGATGTTACTCACGATGACGCTCGGTACGGAAAGACGCCAACAATGACGTTTCCGCCGCTCAGGCTCAAGGACCGCAGACTCCTCCCTACATTTGCGGGATCCGTCGGAAGGAGACAGCAAGTCGGAAAGAAGACTGGGGTTCCGGCACGGTCCGCGAGTGAAAGCACGTTTCCGACAGCACCGATTTGCGCACCAACAACGAATAAACTAGAACCGAGGCTGGAACGAGGGATCCACGGCCTGGCTAGGACGCACCCCGTTCCTACGAGGACTCACGTCACGGCGGGCGAGGTGCCGAGGGGTAGTAAAAACGGCAGCAACGGTAACAGCAGCAGTACCAGTAGTAGTAGCAGTAGCAGCATCGTCGTCAGAAACGGGAGCAGCAGCAGCGACGGCGGCTCCGCCCCCGACACCCAGGCCAAACCAACTCATCCTCCCCTCCCCGCCCCGACCCCCGCCCCCACGAAACCCAGCTCGAAATCCCCGGCCTCGTCAGTCCCGCCGCCGTAGCTGCCGCTAAGACGGCCGGCCGCGTACCCCATTTACCATGGAACCTCCGCTCCCTCCCCTCCGCCTCCGCCACCTCCCTCCACGCCCCCGCCGGTGCCGACGATCATGGTGCTTCCCGGCGAGATTGGCCTCGCAGTCACGGGCGAAAACGGAAACGGGCCCGGCGGCGGCAGCCCTGGATCAAGTGGCGGCGGGAACGAGGGCAAGGACGGGGGCGAGGGCGAGGGGGTGACAGCGGCGGCAACGCGCAAAAATGTCGTCCGAGTCGCAAGATCTCTGCGATTTGACGGAAGAGTGCGCGCGCGAGGAGCGGGAGAGCTGGGGTATGTTTCGGAGCGGGGCCGGGGGTGCGCCGGGGGTGTCGGGGCGGGAGGCGGGGGTGGTTAGTCCTGTGCTCGGGGATGGGGAGCTGGAGAGGTTGGGAGGCAAGTATAACTAGCTCTGGGTTTCGGCGCTTGGAGTCTTGTTTTATGCCTTTTTCTTCTTTTCTTTTCTATTTGTGCTTCCAGGCTACTGCTTCTTCACCTTTGTCTTCTCTTCTCGTCGGATTTCCGGAATGGAGCGCTCGGCCTTCTTGTTTTATTCATCTTCCTCTCACGTATGTTGCGGAGTTTTAGTATCGGCATGGATAACGCCACGGATCGGGGAACTCACTCCTCCACAGGACGAAAAGAAAGTGTCCGAATGGACCGTTTTCGAACAGTAAAGGGTTTTTCTTTTTAGAATCTATGAAAGCTAATGGAATAGGAGGGGACGGGGAAAAAAGGAACCAAATCACTATACAACCATTGACTGCTTTCGGATACCGCAAAATCATCACTCTATCGCCTGAGTTGTATCATAAAATCCTCGCTTTCCGTTTTTTTTTGGCATCATACCAGGTCCTTCCAGTCCTTGTTTTTTCTTTCTTTGTTTTTCCTTTTCGTTTAGGCAGCACTAGCGGCTACGCGGCCTCAGGCTTGTTCTCTGCCGTGGTCTCCTCAGCCTTGGTCTCTTCATCCCCTTGACCTTGACATCGTTCTCGTAGCCCTCGACCTTGATATCGTTCAGGCCAAGATCCTCCTCTTCCTCATGAGTACGGGTATAATTCTCCCTGGTGATTTGCGGATCGGGCTGAGGAGGCTCTACGAGGGATTGGACGTAGCTGCTGGCGAGCGGGTCGGTGAGGATGATGGTGAACTGCTTTTCGCCGTTGATAGCGGCGTCGAGGCCGTCGAAGAAGGCCTCCCAGGTGGTCCTCTCGTCCGCGAGGAGGAGTCACCGCCGCCGGCACCCGAGGCGCCGTCGACCTGGAATATTTGATTACGTAGGTCGTCGCGGACCTGGGTGAAGAGGCCCTCGACGGTGGTGAAGCGACCGCCGAGAGTACCGGGGTTGACGGAGAGGTTAAGCTCGGGGATTCAAGGGCGCATGTCTCGCTCTTGAGGATATCGCGGCCTAGATCGCGGGACTCGGTAACCTTGAGGGTGATGCGCTCGCCCAGTTCGGGGATCTCGCCGCCCGTCTTAACGTCGTTGGAGCGGTACCCGCAGTCGTCGCATACAGTGGACATGAGGACAACCTGTTTGAAGTGGGGGATATCCACCATCTTCATGTGGGTCGTGCAGTTGTGGGTGCAGCCGGGACAGGTGGCGGGGAAGCTGTAAACTTCGTCGGGGATGATGTCGCCCTCGGCGGTAAGCCCGGGCTGGGCGGAGGCGCCGGCAGGCGCGGAGCCATCACCGGCGGACAGGCCAAGGGCAGCGTTCTGCTCGGGGGTACGGACGAATTCGTGCTTCTCCCATTTGCCGACGCTATCGGTCAGGTTGGGGGCGATGAAGGAATTGCCGGCGGGATCGTCAATGGTGATGCGGAAGGGGAAGGACTTGCCCTCGAGCATATCGCGGCCCTTTTGGATCACGGCAGCAATCTTCTCGTAGTTCTCGGGGTCTTGCTCCTTGCGCTGATCCTGGGCGAGCTCCAGGTCGTCGACAACGGTGCGCAATAGACCCTCGATGTTGCTAAGCTGGCCACGGCCGGGGGCATCTCGAGGTCCAGCTCGATGAACTTTGCGGTGGCGGTGTCAGCCTTGACAACTTGGCGGGAGAAGTCAGCCATGTCTGTGAGCCTAAGCTCGTAGTAGCTGCCCTTGACTTGTATTTCGGAGGCGGTTTGGATCTCGTTGTTGCGGAAGCCGCAGTGCTCGCACTCAAAAGACATGAGAATGATTTCGCGGAAGTAAGGGATCGCCGTGAGGAATAGTCGCGTGACGCCCTGAGCGAAGAGGAAGAAGAACAGAAAATGTTAGCTAACGTTGGCCTGTGGAGGGTATGCGCAGAGGCGGGACATGAAAGGAAGCAGACAAAGACTCACATTATCGTGGCAGTTCATGCACAGGGACTCAATTTCCTGAACAACCTTCTCGTCGTCGTCGTCGACATCGCCGCTCTCTCCGGGGCCGGCGACCTTGTCAACCTTGTTTCCAATGGCCTCGAACTGGGAGGGTTGAGCGGGGTGGCTTGCGCCGCGGGCTTCGTCTCCTCGGCAGACATGAGGGGCGTAGATGGAAGGAAGAAAAAGAAAAAGAAAATCAAACAAGAGGGGTATCTAAGATCGCTGTCCGGTGTTGCTGCCCGGATCCTTGAAATTGTCTCTATTTTCCGATTCTTTTATTTTCTTTTTCAAGAAAGACAATAGGATAGGGAAAGAGGAAAGGAAAAAAGAAGAAAAAAGAAGGAACGGGAAAAGCGTGATTGTAGTCTTGGGTGATGTGTGTTAGAAATCAAGTGTATGACGATGGGTGCATGGAGCGATTCGATGGTGGGGTATTTCTGGAAGCTTATGGGCCTCTGTAGAAATTTTTTCTTATCGCGGCGAAATCCATGGAGGGGTAATAGTCACACGCGCGAGCGGCTTTGAGTCAACCCTCCAGCTCGGGGATGCTGCGTGCTGCGCCCAGAAGCCTCGCTCGCATTAACCGCCCTGTTCGTAGCCCAATTGCCGCACACCCCAAGCGCTGAGTACTCGCGTTTAGGGGTCCAGTCAAATTGGCGAGTGAGCGTGGCCTGACCATTTTGCGGGCTAGAGGTTGTCAATGCGCTAGCGGCCCCTAAAAGTCTGGGCATTTGCCGCAAATCGCCACTAAAGGCAACCGGTGCTTCTGAGGACGACTACCGTTGACCAGTAGAAGCTTCTAGTTATCCCCTGTCCGAGCTAGACGGACCCGGACCAAGCTCGAGATCGATATGGACGAAATCGATCATTCGGGATGGTACTGATGGTTATTCCGCATCTTGTCGATTCTTGACAGTTCAACAAGGTGCTCTTCATAGTAATTCTCGCCATCAATTGATGGCCTCACTTCTTCATGAAGCTCGCGAGAGATAGCCCGCTGCTAGGCTTGGCAGCCTTGCTATCCGCGAGGAGAGCCTGCAGCCCTGCCTTGCGGTTCTTCGCCCGCTTCTTGCTCACCGCATTGACCGACGTCGTCTTTGCGACCGGCACTTCCGCCGCGCTCACCTTGTCCAAGGGTTTCGCGGCCTTGGCTCGCTGATGCCTCTTCACGTGGCCCACGACGGGTGCCGGGGGCAGCTGCACCACCGTCGTCCGCGCACACCGATCGCACGAGACCGTCTTGGTGATGCCGACCCTCTCAACCTTGGGCTGACCGGCCGACTTCCCTGACCGCTTGACGTACCCGATTGGCCCGAGAGTCGGTGGTTCGGCCTCGGCAAGCTCGAACGCTTGCGCAGCAGCGCCTTGTCCGACTCGATCTTGAGCACGGCGCTGGAGCCGGGAATCAGAATGTTTCCGCAGGCCGCACACGCGTGCTGCTTCTCCACGTCCGAGATGGCGATGCCGTGCTTGGCCGTGAGCGAGTTCCTTTTGTCCATCAGGTACGATGATGTCTCCGGCGCGGATGCTGCCAAGAGGTGGGCGGCGTCGGTGAGGTAGCTCAGGCGAGCCTGGAGATTGAGTGTCGCCATGGCGGACGGCAACCGAGGAGTTGAAATTTTGTTTCACACTGTTTAAGCATCAAGAGGGATTTTACATGAAGATGTGATTTTTGGGCGAGGAAACCAACGCTCGTAATGATGCCGGGCCTCTTTCGTTGACGTATCTGAGCCTTCAAGGTGATTTGTTGAAGTGAGGAAACGAGAGTCAGTGGCTGAAAAAATGTTAGTGCTCGATTGTTTCGGTGCAGGGACCTATTGGGACCAGACCACCTCGCCCAGAAACACCACAGCGCAGACGACCGGGACCGGGAAAGGAGCAATCAAAAGGAGCAACAAGCCCGCTTTTGAGGAAATCTTCCTTTATTTTTTGCTTTGCATCTATTGTATTCCATTTGGGGTTTACTATCTCCTCTCAAAATCCGTCCGTTATGACCGCACAATCTCCCACTTGAGGTTTGTGATTCCAACCTCTTCTCCCGCCTTCTCGTCATAGTCAAACCACTCTCCCTCCGTAAGCTCAACTCCCGTAAACTTGGTACCGGAGTCAATTCCTTCCGCCAGCCACTCTCCCTGGTCAGAGATTTAGTATCAGTGTCTTTAAAAGTGTGCAAGCCAAGGGTGATTCCCAGGAAGATCGTGGCAAAGTATGCACTTCTTCGGGCCGATCATAGGGGACAAAACCTTACCTCGGGCAAGAACTCGGTAAACTCCAATCCGCGGCAGTCGAACTCGATAATCTTCTGCTTCTTGGGCGGGTCGCTATGCTCGTAGGCTGCCGGCGCAGCCTTGATGTTGGCGGACGATTCTCTCTGTGCACAAGAGCGTTTAGATACCCTGCAGAGGAGAAAGGAGCGACCAGGATACTGCTTATATCTAACACGTTTCGGGAGTTCCGTACCTTGCAGTTCTTGCACTTCCAGACAAAGTTGGCCTCTCCTCGGCTTCCGCTCATCTCGTTCATGTCCTACATCAAAGCCCTTGTCTAAGTTACTTGGCCTAGCTTTCACCCAGCCAGACTTGGAGGGGCATCTCTTGACCACTCCAGATTCATGGCAAGTTTTGGGGATTCAAAACATACAAAACGGCTCAGGGCGATATTGTTGCCGTGAGTCTCACGGCAGGACGTGCATTGGACCTTAAAGGTATACCAGAACTGGGTGGCCTCCGTATCGGCTGGCCGGAGGTTCGTCACTCTACAGAGTGTGTTAGTCGCTATAAGAGGATGGAAAAGAAAAAAGCCCACCCGCTTCATCTACCCCCATCCCCGCTGGTTCTCGCTTACCCGGAAAGCTCTGCTGTGAGGACGAGGGCGAGCATTGTGTGATTTAGCAAGAGATAAAACGTTAATCGCTGCCCAAAAGTGTAGCCGTCAATTTTGAGTGAATGCCCGCCACGAGATCTTGAGCGAGGGGCTTTTCTCTCCTCCACTTGAAAGCTGCCCCTCTTCAACCAACTCTAGCTGGTACGTACCTTTGCACGAGGTTCACTCATCGGCCAAAAGAAATGCAAACACCTGCTGCTATCCAATTGAGCACGGACCAATGAGCAGGACGTCAAATTTTTGGCACAAGCACGACAAGTCAACATTCTTCATTACCTAATCCGATGGCCGCTTCCCACGTGATCCAATTGGCTCAATTGAACGTTCCACTTCCAGTTTTGACCTCTTGATCAGACCATCTCGAATGAGCAAAAATCCAACAAACGCTTGAATCGAAAACCACGACGACGGGGCCGACGACCAGAGAAACCCTCCTTCTACGGGTTTCCACTAGTCGTCCTTCCCCTTCCTTACCCCCTCCGCCCTTTCGCCGCCCCCCTTCTCTCCCACGCGAAACACACCAATGACTTGAGTCATGCAGCGGTTCTTGACGAGAGCGGGCAAGGCGCGCGGCTCCCGCTACAACCAGCTCGCCGGCGGAGCTGGGGTTCCGAGGGCCCCCAATTCGTGGCCCGTCAACGCACGCAACGCTTTCACGACCCTGTATACGAGCGTGCTCGCCACCGCGGCGGTGGTCGACGCGAAGAGGAAAGATGACAGGGCCAAGCTCCTCGACTCGGAGATTGACCAGGCCAAGGAGGCCGTCGCGAGGCTGAGGCTCGAGAACGCCGAGGCAGAGGCGAGACTATTTCCCGAGATATTTGGGGCTACGATACAAGCAGATGGGGGATCCAGGTCATTGGGCCGCCACAAGCCCCGGCCGACGCGGACGACGCCGAGACTATCGGCGGATCCGACCTCGACGAAAATGGGGGTGTACGAGGCTCAGATATGGGAGTGGATGGGAGGACAGTGCTGGGACGTTTTCCACCCGCAAAACTACAAGCGGACCCTCGTCAAGCTCAATACGACCGATCATCAATCGATACAAGACTGGCTTGACGCTACGGCGTCCAGCGACAGGGAGGATAAGCTGATGACGGTGGCTCGACCCGAGGAGTATGAATCGAGCGTCATGGGGCTCGTCAACACCCTGCTCATCGAGCATGATAGGATGCGCTGGAAAAAGGCCAAGGAGAGCGAGCCAAAGTCTCCGCTTCGCATCGCCATCGACCGGCTGCTCGTCCGGGGTCTACCGAATATCTGGTGGGATAACCGGGACCTCAACGCGCTGCGATGGGGCCGAACGGAGCTTTCTGCGAGGTTCCGCCGAGACGTTGTCGGCCACGACCGCCTAGGAACGATTGAGAGGATATGCTACAGCCTCCTCACCTCCCTATACCCCGTTACCATGCATTCCTACAATACCCTCATCGTTCAATTAACTAAGGCCGGCCACGGCCGACTCGCCGGTTGCGTCACCAGGGCGCACTTTGCCCACTTTAGATACCACCACCCACAATCGGCCGCCGCTGTTCTCTACCACGACAAGGAGGTGTTTAATCACGCCGGCGTCAGCAGGAAAGTTAACGTCATCTTCCGACGGCTGGACTCGTACCTCGCACGCGGAGGATGCCGTCTGCTCGAGGCCATGGTGGGCGCCTACGCAGGCATCGGAAACCTCACCGACGCCGTCGTAGTCCTTTGTCACGGCATCACCCTCGGACTGTGCGTCCGCTCCAAGGAGCTCATTAAGCTAATTGGTCAATGCATCTGGAACCTCGATCGTTCGCTCGCGGCCATGCTCATCCGCTCCTTTACAGATAACCAAGAAATCCTAAAAGCCGTCCTCGAGTCCGACCCCGCCCTAAAACCAGTCCTTCTCCACCAAATCAATTATCTATTAGACGTTAGCAACCTATGGCAACAACCGGCCAGCCTAGCCAAGCGGCTGCGGGAGTACAACATCAACCCGGAGAGATTTGGCCGGCTCCGCAAGGCGCTGGCCATCCTTGGTGTTGAGCGTGAGCTGCAACAGGCCTCTCAGAAACTAAGGCAGATCGAGAAGAGCCTAGGCATGCAAAGCCAAAGTCCTCTGGCCATCCCTCAAGACGCAACCTTGGCGCGCCGCATCGACGAAGCGCTCAAGATAGCAAACAAGCCCAGTGCCCATCTCAGGGCGGCTATGCCTGCGGCGTGGGCACCGCGCATCTCGCCCAAGGATGAAGAAGCCGATAGGTCTTTCGAAGCAGGCTATGACCCGACACACGAGATCATTCACGGGCACCGGCGTGTGTCTCGCAAAGAGACGCCGCGGGTGTGGGATGCGGAGGACTACAGGGCCGCGCGGATGGACCTGAGAATTGTCGCGCTGGCTAAGCAGGTCAAGGTCACGCTAGACAAACAGCGGGCCTTCTCCAGCCTAGTCCACCGGGAGGTGAAGAACTACAAGGAGCTAGAGTGGCAGTACGCAAGGAAGCGCATGCTACGGCGGCGGCGGAGGGCGCTCAACAGGATACAGGAGCGCGTGGAGACCCTGCACACCACGTCTGCAGGGGAGTCCAATAGCATCGAAGCGGCGATGTGGGAAATGGAAGGAGAGGAGAGGCAAAGGCGCCAAGTAGAGAGGGAAAGATTTCTTGTAGAAGAAGAAAAGTGGAGGCCAGCCGCCGCGGCCGCGAGAAGGAGAAGAGCGGCTGCGGCGGAAGAACCGAGGGCGGAAGAAGCGCTGCTCGCGGCTACTACGTTGCAGAGCGGCGGCCTTGCGCTGCCGCCGCGGCGTGATGCCGCTCTCTCCATACCCCAACTCTCGCCCCGCCCCTTGCCGGAACGCCTCGAGGCCTCGGCGTCGTTTCACGCTACGTACGCCGTAGAGCGGGGATGGCGGCCGCTGGGCGGGCGGGCTAGATGGGGAGGCGGAGCGTCGAGAGCAATGTACGTTAGGATAAAGAATTTAGATGAGCGACGGTTTGGGATATTAGGCTTCTTTTTGTTTTTCTTCTTCTACATGTATATCTTCGTTATATCCTTCATGTGCTGTGTTCATCCCCCATACTCGTTGTCCCATACTTGCCTTGCCATTCTTCTTTTTGGCTTTATTATTTTTACTTCCAGACACTAGCGATCACAGGCACTATCGTGGAAAGGGGGAAGAATATATGTAGGGAAATTACACGGTACAACTCCATGATCGGCGGGATATCGACGGATCAACAATTTCGTGCATCGTTAAAGCGAAAGCGGGCGGGCAACGCTGACGTATTACACGCCGTCATCCACGGCCCTGGCATCCGCTCGATTCCTTTTTGTTCTTAAATAGTATCGGCGGGTCGCGGAGAGGGGGTTGCGGCGGGGGAGCGGGGGTGGAAGGAAGAGGGAGGAGAGATTAACTGAGCGGGACTCGGGGGCGCCGATCGTTTCCTTGTTTCTCGGGATTTCAAGGTCTACAAGGGGAGGGTCGCCGGAGACGCGGCCGAGTCACCGGTAGGGAGAGAGAAAAAAAAAGAAAGCGTAGTTTCCCTTTGCCTGCGTCATTGAGACCATTCTCTTCGAAGGGATTCTTGAGATGGATGGGCCGTCTCCATATTAGGTCCACTTGGTGGGCCACCTGGCTGTTCCTGCAAAATTATCATTGATGCGTGTTAGGTAGAGAGAGAGAGAGGTAGAGAGATAAGGAGAGGTTTCCCTCGCTTGGAGAATTTTTGTGCAACGTAGTGAGGTCAAGCGTGAGGTGATGGGTGGTAGGAGTGATGTAATGGACGGGGACGGAGGCGGGGGACGGAGGCGGGTGGGTTAGCAGGGACGAGAAGATGGGTGGGAGGGAAAAGAAGAAGAAAAAGAAGAAGAAAACACGAAGCCAAATGCACCAGACTCAAATTAAATTGTTAAGCTTGAATACTTGCAATGGCTAGGTTAATTGGAGTTTGGTGAGAATCACTTCCTAAACATTCCCAAGCCAGGTATCCGCCCCTGGAATGTTAACGCCTCAGAGGACTTGTATGAGGCGAGTACATCTAGATGTCCTGAATTAATGGAATATATCTATAGATGGTGACAGAGAGCATTGAAAGCTTCTTCCTTCTTGTCGATTAGTGATCAAAAGGTACGTCCCGTTGTACTTTGTAGCACTGATCCCTCATTGACCAGTCCAGCCCGGGCTTGCAGGTCTGTAGATACAGCACTGAACAGACGGGACGGGACAAGGGGAGATTTTTTGAGGTCAATCGAGGCCCGTTTTCGCATGTGATATTCAACCCGTGACTTTGAGCCGTGCCATGTGCTGCGTCGAGGTTATATGTCAGGTCCCCGTCCGAGAGCTTGCCGTTCTTGCTCCGAGCACAGTGTAAGAGCCCTTGATTTTGTACTTGGATCTGCTGGAGGAATCACAAACTGCCTTCTCGGAGACATTGTAGGTGTCGCCCCTGGCACGGCGATTATCTCGATAACGGAATCATGTATTACCCCTCACAAAATTACATGACCATAAGCCCAATAAGCAGAGTTGACTACCTCTTCTCACTTTCCCTCAACCCTTTCTCCCCGAAGAAGGGATATTGCTCACCGTCGTCTCAGACCGCGTCATTTGACCAGCCGAGGGGTCGCCCCCGGTCAAGCATCCAGTCACGATGAGCGTCTGATGCACGGGTTCCCGGCGGTCCGGATTGACTGGCTGGGCCATGGCATCCGCCCGGCTCTAAACACTGGGAAGAGCAAGCATAAAACATAAGGGGAAACAAGAAAAACCTTGAGATAATTTGATGAAGAGGGGGAAGTCAAATTGAAAATGAGTTTTTTCTTTTTCTTTTTCCCCTTGCCGCACCGGCACATAATCTCAGAAAAAGACAGAAAAAAGGGTGGAGAAGCAGAAGCAATGAGGCCCTCGTCAGGGCAGTCGGATGTTCCCGCAGCGGCTGGCTTCGTGGAGGGCTCGAGTCGGCGGTTTGTGACGGCAGCTGGTTGACTTCATTCACAACTCCCCGGGCGAGCAGGAGAATAGAGATGAGCCAGTCACAAGCCGCATCAGGGGTGTATTCTGCTACTTCCCCGGCCTTGTGTCCAGCACAGCACATTCCATGCGCTGACCAGACAGCTCGCCACCGTGGATATCTACTACTCCATGATGACCCAGAAGAAAAAAAAATGTGTCACTGAATGGCACGCCTGGGCCGAAAGACCTCCGAACAAAGAGCGCCTCAAGATAGGTCTCATTGCCTATCCCCTGATCCTCATAAGCATGCTGGACAAAAGGGCACGTTACACCCCGCGCTACTTGCCTAAAAGAAGACGGGCCTTTCCGCAATGGCAATTGTTTCTAAAGTAGACGGCGAGGCAGCTCGGAAAGATTGGCGACCAGGAGGTTGAGCAGAAGAGAAGCTGGAACTGACTAGTGGCACTGCTCACCTGACGTCTAAAAGACGGAGTCGGACGACGTGCAGAGCTGGCAACTTGAAGGTAATGGACCGCCCCGGGGGTGCAGGTCCTCCTAGCGACCCCTTCAAGTCCCGAGAGACGGTGAGCGAGGTCTGCGGTACCTTTCGTTGGGGTGGTGGGGGCGGGACTGTATCTGGTACCGCGTACACATCAACCCCTGCCCAGTGACTCCGGGGACTTGCAGATTTCCGGCGTCTGTCCTCGTGGGACTGGATTTCCAAGCAGCTGGCCCGCCCCATCAGCCACTCGATTTTTTTCTAAACAAAGGTCTTCGTTATCGTTTCCACTCGTCTCTGCTTTGCACGTATGGGAAGAGGGGACGATGGAGAAATAGACGAGTCGCAGCAGCCAGGCAGCTGTGGTCTTTGGACGAAGAAGCCTCCTCTCTAGAACCGTGAATACTCTCTCCTGCCTGCTTCATCAATAGCCTTGCCTTAGCTCGTCCTCTGTCTAAAGATCCATGGATGGCTGGCGTGTGACTTTTCACGGGGCCTTCTAGCTCGTTACAATGACCGCCTATCCTTTCCTTCCTTTTCTTCTCTTGGTTTGATTTTCTTAGACAAGCCTGTATTGACCCGGCGTGCTTCAGCATCCATACCTCTCGTGACTGTGTAACAGCCCATCCCATCCCACGCATTCATCACAATCCACCCCCAATGCCAATCATCTTCAGCCTGACCACAAAGCTCCCTCTTCTACCCGTCGATGAGATTCCAGCTAGACACTCCCACTCTCTACCCGCGCCGCTATCCCACCCCCAAATCCCCTGATATCCGACACCCGAGTCTACCCAGTGGGGAGGAGGGGAGTTCGCCCCCATCCTACACCCACAAAACCCCTCAAGTCCGATGCTCGATGCTCGATCAGGGTGAGTAATCTTTTTACCGGACGCAAGTTCCCTGCACTGGATCCCTGCACTGCACGGTGGGCAGCTCGGTCGGCGTCCGAAACCACCCTGACTGGACTTGGCTTCGTGGGGTTCTTCTGCAGCGCGACAATCAACGCAGCCACTCCGGCACATTCGCTTGGGACCTCGATCTTTGTCGGGGCATATTCTTCCCCTTTTTGTCTTCTTTTTTCTTTTCTCATCCCTTCTTTTCCACCCTCCCACCCCAATTTGTTTGTAATCGCCCGCCGTCACCTTGGAACAGGCTGATGCACCGTCACTGTACCGGTCCCAGCAAAGATGCCCGAGTCTGCCGAAGTGTGAATGGTGGCTTTGAGAGCCGCGTCTTCCAAAGGGGGAGCATGTTTGAGCGATGTCATACCGCTTCCTCCCCACCCCTTGCTCTCTTTCAAGTTGGGGACCTGGCTTCTCGAACTATTGGCCTGGCCTCGTTTTCTTTTGCCTTGCTCTCCTCCCTTTCAGCCCGCCCACCCCTACCTAGCTCTCGTGATCGGCATCCAACATCTTTTTCTGAATTATATTGCAGTTAGCTTCTTCTTTTCTTTTTTCTTCTCATTCTTAAAATGTGGAGGCCCCTCCCTGGCCCTGGCCCTGGCCAGCTCCTCCCTCCTTATCCATCCATCTCTCCCTCTCTAGATATATATATGTAGCTGGTAGTCCTGATCGACTGTGTTTCAATCCGAATCCAAAGTTGTCCCAGTTCATCCCCGCTAATCAGACTCGGCCCTCATTTTGCTTTTCCTTCCTTCTTTTTTTTGCTACTTGTCAATTGCCCACCTTTTTTGCGTGTGCCTGTCCCGCTCCCCTATTCGAGCTCCTTCCCGAACTAAGTCCAGGCTTGCGTTTGCCAACTAGCTTCGCCGAGGCCCTGAGTCGCCCCTTCCCACACCCCCTGTACCCCGCCACCTGCGTCTGACTTTTTGGCAGGCACCCCCAGCAGTTGCCAGCAACACAACCTGCACTAACTTTGACTGAACCCCCTTCTTTCCGTTGGTCGTTGGTGGGCTCCACCCAATTTGCATGTGTACTTGAAGCTTTGCCTTCCCAGGAAACCCTCGCAAAGCCAGCTCCTGCTCTCCTTCCCCCTTCTCTATGGGATGGCGAGAACTTCACGAGCCGTATCCAGTTCAGTCGCCGTTATGAAATTCGGCAAAAAGTCTGTGAGCCCCTGTTGTTTCCTTGTTTTTCTTTTTTGGAGGGGGAGATTCTTTTGTTTCTTCGTCGCTCCCTCTTTCTCTGTCATGCGGCAGAGCTGGACCTTTGGTTTCTTGTCCCGAGATATCTCTCGGCACAAAGCCCGCAAGCTTTGTGTTTGAAAGCTCTTGAGGGAAGCTGGCGCCCGTACAATTACATCGATGGGCGACTGAGAGACCTCGCTGACCCCTCTCACTTCCCTCTCCACGCTTAGCCTTCCCAGAAACCAGGTGCCCGAATGGGCTGCCTTCTATATAAATTACAAAGGCTTAAAGAAACTCGTCAAGGCCGCGGCCACGGCTTCTCAAAATGGCGAGCCTGTTGACCTTGCAGGTAAGTTCTCACCTCCCTCTTATTCCCCTCCCTCTCTTGTTCTTTCTTTTTAGTTGAGCTAGGTCCATTTCGGACCGGGATGGAAATAGCTATTACCTTTTTTTCTTTTTTTCTTCGCTTTCTATTTCTTTTCTACTTGACACCACAGCGGACTGTTTTCTTCATCTATCCTCTTCGCTAACCCGCTCTCTAGAGTTCTTCTTTGTTCTTGATCGAAATCTAGAAGATGTAGACTCGTTTTACAGCAAGAAACTGGCCGACGCTCTCAGACGTCTAAACCTCCTCCACGAGAGGTATGGTAACGTGCCAGAAGTTGTATCCACTCTAGATGCCGATGAAATCGAAGAGTTGATTGGTGCTCTCCTCGAACTGAGACACCAGTTACGCAACCTACAGTGGTTTGGCGAGATCAACCGCAAGGGCTTTGTCAAGATCACCAAGAAACTCGATAAGAAAGTGCCACACATTGCCACCCAGCACGGCTACATCTCCACCAAAGTTGACCCCAAGCCGTTTGCCAGGGACATGAATGTCACCCGCCGCCTCGCCGAGGTGAACAAGTGGCTCTCCGTCCTTGGTGATGCCCAAAACGTCGATGATTCCAGGTCCGATAGGTCCGGCCGCTCGCTAGGGAGGACCTCGACCAAGGGTTCCCCCAGCCTGCCCCAGCCTCGCCTCGATATGCTAGATCAAGCAGCCCGGGCCGACGATGTCGTGGCCTTGGAGGCAATTTTGAAGGAAACGCCGGCTTTGAGTACCCCCTTACCGCCCTTTGCTGCTCAATGCTCTGCAGCGATCCATCACGGCCCGCTCCAAACAGTGCATCGAGTATCTCTTGGCCAACGTCAAGAGCCTAGACGAGCCCGATGACATCAATGCCCGAAACTGCATCCATCGCCTTGTTATGCATATTGGTAGGACAAAGTCGTCTGCCGCCAAGGACCAAAGCACAAACACGTATCCTTTTCACTCTGGCACTCAATTCAGTTCCCAATATCTCCAACCTGCTGCCTCGGCCGCCTCCTCTCCCAAAGCTCTCAACCAAAATGAAACCGGTCTCCTTGGAAGGGAGGACGAAGCCGTTCAGCTCCTTATCTTTCTCCTTGACAAGCTTTCTCCTGAACAGCGGGGCGCCCTAAAGAGCAAGGATTCGTTTGGCCGCTTTCCCCTCCACTACGCGGCCCACTTTGGCTTCGTTGTTCTCTGCGAGATCATTATGGCAAAGATGACGGAGTGGGGCCAATTCACCCTCGAGGACGACTTGGACTCTCCCGACTGGCAGGATGTCGATGGTCACGGCCCGGTTCATCTTAGTGTCATAGGAGGGCATCCCAAGACGACCCAGGCTCTGCTCACCGCCATGACTCGAAAGCAGCCGTCGGCAAATGGTGCTGGCCACGCCGCCATCCTGCCAGTCTCCAAGTCTGGCGCTATCCTTGGGTTAGCGACAAAGGCCAACTTTGACGTGATTGTCAAGATGCTCGTCAACGCTGGCCTGGATATTAATTGGCAGGATAAGGCTGGGAGACCGCACTCCACATCGCCGCGCGATTTGGTCATGTCGAGTGTGCCAAGGTGCTGATTGAAGGTTCCTCGGATCAAAAAGCCGATATAGAGATCACGGAATCCAACTACTCTTGGACACCGCTCCACGTTGCGGCCGTCGATGGGCAACTCGAAATCGTCAAGCTCCTGATCGATGCCGGTGCTAACCTTCTCAAGGTAGACGCATCTGGGTGGATGGCGAAGGAGCATGCCGCGCTGCGCGGACACATGGAGATAGCGCGTCTTCTCAACTCGGAAACAAAGGACTCGCTCGTGGCGGAACTCAGACCCTCTCGAAGCCCCAGCCCCCGCCCCGAGACTCATTCTATCCAAGAGCGCCGGTCTAATGGAGCTACGGCTTCGAAGCCTGTAGAGCTGATCAAGTCGTTTGGCCATCGGTACCTCAACAATGAGAGCTTGATCTTGGTCAGCCTCGGTTCTATGGACATGAGGAAGAGCGTGGATGCCGTTAAGCTCGAAAAAGTGCCGCTCACCGAGGCCCATCTGACGGGACTCGACACGGCGCTCTCTGTCGTCGTTTCGGCAAGCGGTGCGCAAGGAGAGCCCACCATTATTGACCTACCCGTCCACGAGAACATTGCCACGGAGCCCGTTGTATTTACCGCACACGATGCGAGCGAGGTCAAGATTCTTTTTGACATTGTGCCGACGTACTCTGGGAACACCAAGGATAAAATTGGCAGGGGGTGGCATTGCTTTCGTCCATCAGGCCAGCCGTTGGTGCAAAGCGCATGAGCCTTCAGGGGGATGTTTGCATCCCCATCATGGCCAGCAACCTCGAGGTGATTGGAACTGTCAACTTCAACTTTCTCATTGTCACGCCGTTTTCCCACCCCAAGATGGAGATTACGTCGAGGCAGACGTACTGGAAAAAGCTCGCCGACACCATGGTTATTGGCCACCGTGGACTAGGCAAGAACGTGTCGTCCACTAGGTCTCTTCAGCTGGGAGAAAACACGGTGCCCTCGTTTATTGCCGCGGCCAACCTCGGAGCTCAATACGTGGAGTTCGATGTCCAGTTGACAAAGGACCACGTTCCGGTCATCTATCACGACTTCCTCGTCAGCGAGACCGGGATTGACGCCCCCGTCCACACTTTGACCTTGGAACAATTCCTGCACATCAACCCCGACTCAACTCGGGCTCAGTACAAGGAGCGTTTAGGTGACCCCCGAGCGAGGCCTCGCAGCAACAGCCTGGACACGCGAAAATCGCTCAAGTTGGCCGAGGAGGAGGTGAGAAAGCGCACCGAAATGGAGGAGCGCATGCGGCACACGCGAGATTTCAAGAGCAAGGGCTACAAGGCCAACTCGCGAGGCAACTTCATCCAGGCCCCGTTTGCCACCTTGGAAGACCTATTTCGCAAAATCCCCGAGAATGTGGGCTTCAACATTGAAATGAAGTACCCCATGCTGCACGAGAGTGAAGAGCACGAGATGGACACGTACGCCGTGGAGCTCAACTCGTTTTGCGACACAGTCTTATCCAAGGTGTACGACTTGGCCGGTGACCGCCACATTATCTTCTCCTCATTTAATCCCGACATCTGCCTCTGCCTCAACTTCAAGCAGCCATCGATTCCCATTATGTTCCTGACAGATGCGGGTACGAGCCCCGTAGGAGATGTCAGGGCGTCGTCACTCCAGGAGGCCATCCGGTTCGCGAGCCGATGGAACTTGCTAGGAACCGTCAGCGCGGCGGAACCCTTTGTCAACAGCCCTAGGCTCGTGCGGGTGGTCAAGGAACGGGGTCTAGTGTGTGTCAGCTACGGCGTCTTAAACAATGACCCCATGATGGTTCAGGTTCGTCTCCCTCGTTTTCACCCTGTTCCCTTTTTTACCTTTCCAATTTTCTCTTCTTTATTTCGCTTGCCCCAAACCGTCAAAAGGAACCTTGGCTCTGCGACCAGTCACTAACACCCACATAGAGACAAGTCAAGGAAGGGATTGATGCCGTCATCGTTGACAACGTACTCGCCATCCGGAAGGGTCTGACGACCACTGACACCCAGGCGGCCGCCGCGCAGCAAGACCCTATACTGGTTCTTCCTAACCTCGAGGCTCTTGGTGTGGTCGGATGATGCAGTTGGCTTGGTTCTAGCCTCCCCCTCCATCCTCTATATCTTTTTATCTTTTTCCCTTCAACACCTTATACCCCTCCCGGTATATTCCAATTCTATTTTTCTTTTCTGTGCACTTTTGGGCTTGTCTACTACCTCTCCCGGCCAGTGGGAAAACGCTTCCCAGAAGCAAGATGGAAGCGCACTTTTCTTTTTCTTTGGGAGGGATCTGGTATAAATAGATTTATACGTCTTGTTCCTTTTTCATTCTCGTGACCCAAGAGTAGTCGTTTCAACACGACTTTTCCACAAAACAGGGTGGCTTCTTGGGACTCACTTGTATAGAGAAGAGCGCGGGCTACGAAGTTTATGACACTAAATGAGTATCGGTTTTTTTTTCGTTCTCGCCTCTCCCTTAAAGGATTTAGGGATACGACGAGTAGCGTACAAGCGGGAGGACGGTCTCTCCGTAAGACAGCGGGGGTTGTAGGTGTAAGTAGATTTTGAATGAACCCGCGAATACCTCGATAGCATGATGAGAACTCAAAAGCACCCCATTTTTACGTGGAAGACGACCTTTTTCCTTTACTAGTCCCTAGACTATCATTGAATATCAACTCTGCACTTTATTGTACATGTTCCATGGACACATTATTCCTCATGAAAAGATGTACGGGTGGTCGTTTTACGGATGTCGTAGGCGTAGAGGCTGCCCTCAGTCTCATCCTCGATCCAGTCTTGCGTCACGCTCACCTTGCACCAAAGGGAGAAGCTACCGAGCAAACTTTTGACGGGGATGCGAACTGCATGCCCAAAAGCCCGAGCCGTCGTGTCTTGGTTCTCTTGCCACGCCTACGTAATGATACAGGGGACTCGTTTGTTTTCTTTGGTCTTCTTTATTCCTTTCTGGATGTGTGGTGTTGGTTTTTGTTTTGTGTTTGCGTACTATACAGTATGTCTCCCGACGCCGCCACACCTGCCCGTTTCCTCCCCGCTGTCCTCGTCTCCTCCTCGTTGCGCTTCCTCGGCCTAGTTTCAACATATATATACGTTGGAGACGGAGAATGGGAAGAGGGGAAGGGGAGGGGAAAAGAAAAAGGCATGTCATGCCAAAAGCCTTGCCCTTTTGTGGCCCCCTTTCCCTCTCGGCCTGCCCGCCATCACCTCTTTTCCTTTCCCCTTTGCTTACCCCCTTTTCCCGCTCACTGCTTTTTGACTCCGACTCTCTCGTTTTAAGGAGGAGAAAGGAAAGAAAAAGACAACAAAGACGAGAAAAGGGTGCGGGTGCGATGGTGGAAAAAGGAAAAGAGTGAACAAAACAAAACAAAAAAGATGCTTCTACTTTCTCCGGTTCCCTTGTATGTAATGATGCCCAGGTTCTACACGATAGCAGCCATTGATGATGAAAAAAGAAAAAAAAAGGAGATGAGCCCGTTTCGCGCTGGACGAAAACCGGGTTGGTTCGTACACGCGACTGTGAAAAAGAAGGAGGCGAAAAAAAAATCGAACAACAGAAAACAAAAAACGCCCGGGCCATCTTCTACCCAGACCGCTAGAGCGTGCGTGCTTGGATCACAACAAAAGAAAGCAAGACAAGTAAAAATAAAGAGAGCCAAAAAGAGAGTGGAGGGTAAAATACACCTCTCCCTTCTCCCTTTCGACCCTCCCCCAAAGTTAGGAAGCAAGACAAGTAAAAATAAAAGAGAGCCAAAAAGAGAGTGGAGGGTAAAATACACCTCTCCCTTCTCCCTTTCGACCCTCCCCCAAAGTTAGGATGAGACCCCTATTCTTTTTAAGAGTACAGGAAATCTTCACCTACGGCGCGGGGACGGGAGGCGGCAGGCCCGCGCCCGGTTCCGACTCGGGATGACCCGTAGATGGGCCAAGGCCCGTAGGTATAGCGGCGGGTACCGTCGCGGGCACGGGGACGGACATGGCGGTGTTGGGAGACGCGGGCATGCGGCCCGTCAGCTTCTCGCCGCGGATGACGCGCTCAACCTCGTGCTTGTCGAGGGTCTCGTACTCGACGAGGGCGTGGGCAAGAAGGTCAAGCTCCTTGCGGCGGGCGCTCAGAAGGGTGCGGACCTCCTCGGCCGAGGTGTTGAGAAGGTGTTGGACTTCCGTCTCCACGGCGGAGCGGGTCTCGGAACTGAGCTTCTCGTAGTTGTTGGCGTAGTCCATGGGCGCAAGCTTGGAGGACATGCCGAAGCGGCCAACAATGGCAAAGGCCTCCTTGGTGGCCTTTTCCAGATCGTTGGACACGCCTGATGTGACGGACTCGGGCCCAAACGCCAGCTCTTCGGCAATCTTGCCGCCGAGGGCGACACGGATGTGCGTCATGTAGTCGCTCAGGGTGTACGAGTACTTGTCCATCTCGGGAATGTAGGCCGTGTGGCCCAGGGACTGGCCGCGGGCGAGGATGGTGACCTTGTGGAGCTCGCTAGGAGGTTTGTCGGCAAAGAGGTGGACCAGGGTGTGGCCGGCCTCGTGGTAGGCCGTCATGAGCTTCTCCTTGGGGAAATGACCCAGCGGCGCTCGGCACCCATGATGACCTTGTCCATGGCCCACTCGAGGTCCTTCATCGAGACAGAGAGCGCCTTGGCCTTGCTAGCGTGGACGGCGGCTTGGTTCACAATGTTCTCGAGCTCGGCACCCGAGAGACCCGACGTGAAGCCAGCAATGGACGAGAACTTGACATCCGGGGAGACCTTGATCTTCTTGGCGTGGTGCTGCAGGATGGCGAGGCGGCCGCGGACGTCGGGCAGGTCAACGACGACGTGGCGGTCGAAGCGGCCGGGTCGGGTAAGAGCTTTATCGAGGAGCTGAGGGTGATTGGTGGCTGCGAGGACAATGACGCCCGTGTTCTGCTCAAAACCGTCAAGTTCCGTGAGGAGCTGGTTGAGAGTCTGCTTCATGTAGGCGGCATCGCGCGCGTTGCGCTTTCCGCCAATGGCGTCCAGCTCGTCGATGAAGATGATGGAGGGAGACTTTTCCTTGGCCGCGGTGAAGAGCTCGCGGACACGCTTCGCACCCACACCGACAAAGATTTCGTCAAACTCGCTACCAGACATGTAGAAGAAGGGAACGCCCGATTCGCCAGCGACAGCACGAGCCAAGAGGGTTTTGCCGGTACCGGGGGCCGACGAGCAGAACGCCCTTGGGCAACTTTCCACCGAGGGTGGAAAACCTGTCGGGGTTCTTGAGAAACTCGACGACCTCGAGGAGCTCATCCTTGGCGTCGTCGCAGCCGTGAACGTCGGAAAATCTCGTCTTTTGCGTTTCGGCCCGGACTTCGCCCTGGCTCTTCTTGTTGCCACGCTTGTAGACGTCGAGGTTGTCGAAGAAGCCGACGGCCAGGGTGACGACCACCATGCACATGTAGGTAATGAGGCCAAAGTACAAGAGGGTCTTGATCCAGCGGAAGAGCACGGAGCCCTTGGACTCCTCCACGATGACGTGGAGCGGGCCCTGCTTGGTGCCGTTGCCCTGGCCGGTAGAGGCGGCCATATCCGTGCCCCTCATGCGGGCGGCGACGGCCTGCGCGACGGCCTGGACATGATCGCTCGGCATGTTGTTCGCACCTCCAAAGTGGGTGGCGGCACCGCCGACCGCGGCCGTATCCCCGACACCTTGCTTGAGCATCTCGAGGGCGCGAATGTACGCAGCGTCGGCGGCCTCGTTGGAGGCGTAGAGCCCGGACTGGTAGCGCTCGACGACGATGGCGGGCATGCCGGCCTTGACGAGGAGCTGGTAAAAGGCATTCTGGGCCGTGGCGCTGCTGGGATTCCGGTTGGCCGTGGCCTCGCGGGTGGCGAGCAGGCTGCGGGAGATGCCGTTGGAGCCGCCGAGGGACCTATATTGGGACGAGAGACCGAGAGCGGCGAGGGTAGGTGATCGCGAAAGGTCGGCAGGGCGGCGCCGCGCCTGGCGAGGGGCTGGGACAGGGTACGGGGGATGAACAAGGTGCGGGACTGCGGAGCCGAGGTCGGCGAGTTCAGCCTCGCGATATGGACGGGGAGCCGTTGACCAAAGGGCCGTAGGAGTAAGGAACTAGCAGGTCCGAGGGCTGGCCTGGCTAGAGCCAAGGCCAGGGGCCCGGAAGTCGACATGTCGTCGTCGTCGGGGGCGGGGCGAAATTACAGCGCACCCGGAGTTAAGGATGAAGATAAGCCAGAGGGGGGACTAAGCTTCCGATGGGGTGAAGAAGGAGATAATCGGACGAGGTGGGTTTTCTAGCAGAATGGCCAAGGTTACTCGTGGGGTCCTTTTGGTTAATGTTTTCTGGAAGAGAGGGCGCCGACTTACCACGCGGAAGGTGCGGCCTGCATGATCACCGTTTCGATGGAGGGAAGGGTGGTGAAGAGCGGTGATGAGGAACGATGTGGAGAGGGGGGCCGACGTTCTGTTGAGTCGTATGTTTCGGCAAAGGCAACAGTGGAAGACGTCTTCAAAAACTTCGACGAGCGTCGGCAAAATAGTTTTTCCGGGTTCTATGCCCGTCCATCTGATACTCTGCAGGCGTTTGCTGTTTCCGACCCGCGGCGATGACATAAAGTCACGTGAATATACCTCTAGCTTGAGTCAATTCTCAACCCCGGTCCAGCGAAAATGACGAAGATATCGAGTCCCCCGCGCTGGTTGGTCAATGGGAGCGAGTACAATCAGAATTTCAGTTTGAAATTTATCATTGGTAGATATTCCCCGGTTCATTGTTGCTCCAATCATCGCCAGTCTCCAAGTGGTTAACGTGTTTATTCCAGTTCTCTAGTCCTTCCATTGGCTGATTATTTCGCTATCGCCAAGGAAGCCAGCAGCCAATGCTTGTCACTCCACCTCTTCCCCGCAAAAGAGGACAAGCCTTGATGCCAAACGGGAGGAACTAAGAAAAACCAAAAGGATGCACGACCTACACCCTCTGGTCGGCAAGGTCTGCCGTGAACTTGGTGAGGGCCTCCCTCTCGCCTCATTTCCCTTTTCGCCCAGTTGCATACCCTCGCTCTCGCCTCCGAAAGCAAGTGCAGGTTGGCGGAGTTTAGGTGGAAAACAGGACCGAGGATGCTGACGCTGCAGGGCACATTCCCCCAACTTTTTTGTGTTATCCTTTTTGTCTTCACATGCTGCTGCCGATGCCGACGCTGATGCTGATGCTGATGCTGATATTGCGCGCAGTTTTGCAATCTGGCTCATCGGACCAAAGGCACGAAAAGATACCCGAAAGACCTCGCTCCCGTTCCCCCAAACAAGTCGAGAGAAAGAAGCAGGAACCGAGAAAGATAAAATCAAAATACGAGGACAGTTAATAAAATGAAAGCTCAAAAGTCCTTGCCTCAAATGCCATCTTTTTTTTCTTTTTTTTTTAAACACTTTTCGTTCCCCTGCTTCGCAGAGTGAGACCTCACGAGCCAAAAACAAAAAAGTTCTTCCCTCGGTCAAAAGAGACGAGACGTCATCCCGCCCTAACTTCCCACTCGTCGTCCTCCCAATCAAAGACAGTCGTCCCCCAAGCATCTTCCCCCTCCTCCCCTTGGCTCGCACTCTTCATCAAAAGAGACTAGATGGAGAAACAGGGTCTCTCAAATCATGACCTTTTGAGTCGCCCGCCGTCTCAGATCCGAAGATCTACGACCGTGCTTGCCTACCCCGCGAAGGGAGACGAGCGGGGGTTTTACAAGTGGATGGGAGAGGCTCGTCGCAGGGGTCCAAAAACAGAAAAAGTTGAAAAAAGAAAAGAAAGAGAGACCAGGATTGTGCATCTTGACATCTATAAACGACGTCTTTGTAAATAGAATTGCGGTTTCTCTCCGCGGAGACGACGGGGATTGCTTGCGGCCCAATGCCCGGGCTGCTTTGCTCTGTTTTCCCCCTTCTCACAGGCGACTTCGGGCGTCCTCTATGCCCTCCCGAGGCCTTCCACCACGGGTTCCCCTTCCCGGCTTTGAAATCCCGGCTGAAGCCGCGACGATGCCCATCCCACAATCGGTTTCCCTTCCCCCTCCCTCCCTCCCCCATTTATAGACTTATGCAACCCACGCAAAGGTGGGTGAGCTGCACAACCCTCAAAATGGACTTGCCGTTGTCTTTCCCCCTCCCTTTTTCCCTAGAACAGCCACACCTCGAAATAGAAGATCGTTGACGCTCCCCTTAATACCCCCAAGCCAGACTCATAGTCATCGGGCCTCTTGGCTCCGATGCTGTCTGTTCCAGAGCTTTTTCCAGCTCAACCTTCTAGTATACAAAACAGAAACAGGGGAAAAAGAAGAAGAAGAAAGGAGATCCTCCTCGATGCAGAATCAAGGCACCAATGCACCCTGCTCCATCGAGCATGGATGCTGGCATGAGAGAGGGGGAAGTGGGTGGGCTGCCGTCACTACGAACCTTGCATACAGCCTCATGCCAAAAGGAAATGCCCATCGAGATCTGACCCCCCTCCCTCTTTCACATGGCGGAGCACCATTCCGAAAATATAGTTGTCCGTCGGGTTATCGTATCCTGCGTTTCTCGCCCCCGCGCTCTCGACAACCTTGGGGGATATTGACCTGATGCCGAGGAACACAGACGAGGACAATGGAGGACAGACATGAGCAAAATGTGAGTAAAGAAGACCAAGTAGAAAAAGAGATGAAAAAAAAAAAAAGAATAGACCAAGAATTGTCAAGCAAAAAGAACAAACACACACACACACCCCGGCACAGAGATGTTTGGCCCCGGGCCTCGGACTACGCAATCAAGCCAACATGGGGCACATATGGCATGGGAAATTCCACGCCGGCGGCGCGGCGGGGCCTAATTCCCCTTCTCCTTTGGAAAACCCTCCCGCTCTAACCCCCGGCTCGTAAGGATAGCCAAATGCGGATAGAGACAAACCAAGATCCGGGAATCGGGCAAAAAGAACGAGATAACCGCAACGAAGGAAATTTCCATATTTCATTTACACTCTCTGCTCACACATCCATTACATACATCGTACATACACACACATATATAGGCTGTGGGGAAGAGGCCGCTTTTTGTTACAATAGATGTAGTCTTCCTCGCCAGTGACCTCTTTTAAACAGAACATCGTGTACTCTCCACCTCCTCCTCCTCTCCCCTCCCTTTCTATCTTGTTTTTCTTTCTCTCTTTCTTGCTCTAGCCATCTCAAACATTCGACAATCTTTCCTCGCCGACCCATGCGTTCACCTACTCCTCGCTCTGCTCCCCAGCCAAAACTTTACACGATGCCCGCCATCATCAAGCGTCATCACTCACTCGAACCCTCCGCGATCCACCGGCATATCCAGCCTAACTGACCAGCTCAGTCACGCACCGGACCCGAGCCGAGCCTTTACGCTACACGCACTCTCTTCTTTGCCTTTGCTTCTTATTCATCTCCAAGGACGAGATCCAGGAAACATCGTACAAAATGACCAAAGAGATCAAAAACTACAACAAGAACAGGAAAAGAGGATGACAGGGAGCCAGGGACGAAAGGGTAGCAACAAGAGAGCCTTCAAATTGCTCTTCACACCTTCAAATACCACGTACCACCACAACCCAACGGACCTGCATATGTATCCCGCCCCTTTTGGAAGCCAGCTCTGGTTACTCTACCCTACCAGCCAAAAGTCGACGCCGTCATCAAAAAGAAGAAAAAGGCCGACGGAAACAGGGCAGCAAACCCGCGCCTCCAACAAGTCCAACAAAACCTTTCGGCCCGGCGGACACGACTCATGCAAGACAAAGGACACGGGCAGAAAGGCTGCGAATTCGTCAAAGGAGAGAGAGGGAGGCTTTCGTTGTGAAGTGATATTTCATTGATTGGAATAAGAGAAAAAAACTTCCCCAAGACAAGAAAAATTGCGCAGAATTTCGCCAACAAGAAAAATTCAAGACAGCTAATCATACAATGCTCTTCTTCCACGCCACACACACATAGCCCGCACAACAAGACTGGCCGAAACCGAGCGCCCATTTTGTAGCCTCCCAAAGTTATACACCGGATCCCTTCGAGATCCATCTGGATATCCTTTTGGCACCTCGCAACACCGACGCGATACTGCCATCCATGCCTTGCGGCCGAGTCCAGTCTCCCGAGCATCGCCAGTCGCCTTCCTCCTCTTGAGTCCGGGGCAAACGACACCATTCACGCCGTTGCATGGTTGCAACAAAATACCGCCTCCATTAAGCACTCCTTGCCATTGCCGCCATGCACTCCCACCAAAACAAACCCAACAAAGGTATTCGTCAATCAATCCAAAAAAAATGGTGAAGAAAAAAACGGCCGTCAACATATTGTGGGGATATCATAAACGATTCCGAATCATCCATGGTCGTGCGTCGTTCCATGCGCCGTCTCCGTGATCGACTTCGTCGCCTCCTCCGCCTCCGCGAATTAGTATGCTCCAGTCCATCCAGGTTCCGTCCGTCGAACGCCATGTCTCTCCCCTTGGTTAAGCGTTGGGAGGATAAAAAAGCAAAAGGTTGCAAGGTTGCTGCTCTTCACCTTTCCCTGCGCCGTCTCTGCGAGAAGACCCATGGGAAAAGGCTAAAGACAAGATGTCGATGACATATAGCCATGTCCAAAGAGAGAGAGAAAGAAAAAAAAAAAAAGAGTCAAACGACAACAAGGGGTATTTCAACAATGATGGAAACAAATAAATGACAAAAACACACGAGGCTGTGTTGTCTTTCCGTCGCAGAAATGGAAGGCTGCTCCACTTCCGCACCCTGGAGCCTCAGCTCAAGATCTGGCGCGATCAAGCAGCTTGTTCTGAGGAAGGTCTTCCCCGAACGGGGATGCAGAGAGAACTGCGTCTCCGCAAGCTCAGGAGGGGGTCGCTAGGTATCCAAGGACGCATTGTCCTTGTTCCAACCAGGCAGCGGCTCCCCGACTCGACACCCACTACATTCCCAGGACAGTGCTGTGAGTCCCTGCGTGGGAATGCTCGTCGCGCCAAATTCATCTCCCTCGTGGGTGGGGGACAGATGATCAAGAGGAGGCTCAGGCAGGGAAAAGACATCGTGGCTGCGCCTACGATGATGAACGCGATAATGATACATAGGTAAGCCTGCGCCCCATCTCGTCTCTCTGGGCAAAACGAGGGCAGTGAGGGCAGTGCCCTCGAAGCCGTCATGTGGTCCTAGACCAGAGGATGGCATCGAGAAACATGCGAGCAAGACATGCTCCTCATCACAAGATTGCCTTGTTTACATGTTGGCAATCCTGGCGCTAGGGAGCTGCATGGACGGGTCCTCGAATTCGATCTTGGGGCCCCAGGGATCATAGACACCGGATCCGTACGTGGGAATCTGGCCAATGGTAGCCACCTCGACAGGTGCCTGGTAAGGAACATTGCTGTACCACTGCTCACCCTCGGGCTGAGGAGTGGGTTGTTGGTACTGCTCCGAGGGAGCGGTTGAGTCTTGCGAGGGGGTAGGAGTGGGCATGCCCTGTTGGGGGAGCCGACGGTCTGCTGGGGAAGTTGTTGAGGGATGGGAGAGGGATAGGAGACCATCGTCTGCTGCGCCTGCTGCTGCTCAACCGGAGAAGCGGCGTGGAGCGCGTATGTGGCAGCCTGGGTAGGCTGGTGAGTGTAGAATCCCTCCTGCGTGGACGGGCTGCGACCAGACGCAGCAGAGAAGCTGGTGGGGCTGCTTTGGATTGATGCGGCAAGTCCGGGAGCGGAGTAGGGGATCTCGAGGGGAGGCGCTCGACGGGCTGGCGGGGAATTTGGTATTGTTGGGCCATGGGATTCGTGTTCATCGTGGCAACGCCAGGGTTGCTCTGCTCCGTCACATAGTAGCTCTGGGGCATGCTGGCGGTTCGATGGAGCATCTGGACGCCGGGGTGTTGCGGGGCAACAGGCTGGCCGTGGAACTCGTGGTGACCACCCGAGACGGTGTGCCTGTGGCCGTAGTGCTGAGGAATAGCATTGTACTGGCCCATCTGGTGGCCAAACTCGGCGAACGAGGCTGCCCTGTGAAGTCCATGACCATGGGCCATGGGCTGGGGGCCGGCACTCATGACGCCCTGGACGGGCCACTGCATACCGGAATGCTTGGGAGTGGCGGGAGATTCACCGCTGTCAGAGTCCGAGGTGCAGTCATCGAGCATCTCATTGGGGTGAAGTCCCCTCTGGTGGGATCGGCGCTGGTGCTTGACCATGGTGGTCTTGCGGCAGAAGCTACAAACATCACGTTAGTACACAGGACACACAAAGACAAAAGGTAAGTAGGTGGGAGAGTAAGGTGAGGCGAGCTTACCTCTTCAAGCAGCCATCATGAGCGCATTTGTAGGGACGCTTGCCGGTATGGATGCGCCTGTGGCGGGCGAGACTCGAAGACTATCGGCAAAACAAACGTCAGGATTGACATGGCAAAGCCAGAGGGGAACGGGGATACGAACGTCGGAAAACCGCTTGCCACAGCCAATGTGCGCACACTGATGGGGCTTCTCGCCAGTGTGGGTGCGGATGTGGACAGTGAGGGCGCTCCTCTGGATGAAGCTCTTGCCACAGCCGGGAGTCATGCACGAGTAAGGACGCTCGTTGGTGTGTATCCGGTAGTGGCGCTGCAAGTCAGACTTGCGGTTGAAGCTCTATTCCTCTCCGTGTTAGCCATTGATACTCTAGGTTACGAGTGCGCTGCATTGTCAACGCCTCAGGGTGGTGTCATGTCGTTGCGAACCTTGTTGCATGATTGCCAATCGCACTGGAAAGGACGAGAGGTAGGCTCGTTCTCGACGAGTTCAAGAAGTTCCATTGCTGCGGAGGAAGGGAGGACCGGGAAAAGGGTGGATTTTCAAGGTGAGGTATGCGGTATCAACGAGTCGAAGACGATGGCGAACACAAGCTGGTGATCGAGTGGGTTGTTCGAAAGAGAAACGCGGGGCTCAACACATCCAGGCGGAATTTCCAATCCTTGGTCGTGCAACGTGCGGCGTCCTGCGCAAGAAATAGTCCTTGGTGGTTAAAAAGCAGAAACCCGGGCCGGAGAGGACTAGGATGAATGCTGATTGAGTCGTGTTGAGAGTTGGTGTAAAGGGCGAATTATATATATATCTCCCACAGGAAGAGTTATAAGATGACACGCCAGTTGCGAAGCGAGAAAGGAAGGATCCTCTGTATGGACAACCTCGCAAAGCAGAGGAAGGGTCAAGATACTGGAGAGGATGAATCAGATCAATGCCATGAAGAAGAACGAGGAGTCAAGAAGATGAGATGTGAAGGGGCGCCCTGGTGGTTTTGTATGCGGGAAACAAGGCAAGGCGAGGAGATCTTGAACAAGCGACCTTGGGGGAGGAGAGAAAAGATGAAGAGGTGTTGGAGCAAGCTATATACTATTATCCGACTTGACTGGAGATGGTCGATGGGCCCTGGCCTTCACTAGCTTGGTGGAGGTCTCTGGGAGAAAGGGCTGAGGGGGGCTTGTGGGAGCGAGGATAGGATACAGGACGCTACGAAGAGAAGTACAGAGGGGGTGTACACTAGTGTACATGCATGGGTGCCATGGGCAGGGGCGGGGTGTAGGGGTGTAGGGTGGTAGTGGTAGGGTGTGTGAGGTTTTCGTCGACGGGGGTGAGACACCACACTCCAGAGGGGGTGGATGGGAAAGGGACAAGGGCTAGAACGGATGGGGGAAACGAGGGGGGTGAAGGGGTGGGAGAGAGAAGAGAGAGTTGGTACCTGGAGCTAGTGGATGCCGAGTCGCGGTGAGTACTCCCTCGCAGAAGAACTCCAAAAGATTGCGCTCGAGGATTGACCAGGACAGAACCGGACTGGACTGGACTGGACTGGACTGGACGCGGGCAGGCCAGTGGAGGGAGCAAGGTTGGAGGGTGACGCGCACCCAGAGTGGTATCGTCGTTGGTCAAAGAGCAACCGCAATTCAGCGACGGGACCTGCAACTGCGTTCCTGCGACTCCCAAACTAGAAGACAACGGCGGCGAGAGGGCCAGGAGCGCTCGAGCGCTGCTACTCCCAAGCTACCAGCCAAAGAGGGGAACGAACCACTGTCTACGTTGTCAACCCGTGCTGGTTCTTGCTAATCCACGCGTGCGGTCTCGGCGACGGAGAGAGGAAGCGAAGAGGGGCCAGTCCGTCCTGTGAGGGCAGCCCACCAGAGTCGCAGGAGCTTCGAAAGGGAATAGTGCCGGCTTTAGATCAGGTGCCTCCCACAGGGCCTCTCGAGCCAGAGAAATGAAGGAGGAGTCGGAAGGACAGCCTAGGCTCTCTATCCGTTCTAGTCAGGGCCTGGGAGGGTGAGTCGCGGCTGCACGAACACGAGCCTTGGTCGTCCCCGCAAGCCACAGGATGACCACAGAATAGCTGCAAGGTCCAAGCAGGCCGTCGTTTGTTACAGATGACCCAATTCGGATAACTCGAGTTGCGCTTCTTACCCTAATGCAGAGGAATGCCGGTTAGAGGCCGAGAGAAGATGAGAGGGACCTCGAGGAGAAGACGACGCGAGGCGAGAGAATCGTCGAGCCGAGTCTTGCGAAAGAGGGAAGGGAGGCCAAGCAGTTTGGCCTACTTGTAGCACAACGCGCAACCTGATGCCAACGAGAAACTACGGAGTAGCTCCAAAGAGGAATGTGATGGCAAGCCCGGAGCGAAACACCCGTGGAAACGTGAGAAGACGAGGAATGGCCTGGGAAAAACGCCAATTCTCTCGCGATCGATCAGGGGGCAGCTTATAAGGATATTCAAGAGGATGGGTTTTGTTATTCCCTCCAAGGAACAACAACTATGTTAGTTCGATGAATACACTTGAATCTCGATGTTGTTTGGCTGGCGCAATAGAAACATTCAGAGACAGATATGATCCGGGTCATTCAAAGTGGGTGCGAGTTGGTGGTTCCCAAAATCGAAGAAACGTTCGTGTTTCCAGTGCTACGATAGTGTGAGAGCAGAAACAACAGCAGAACCAGAGCGAAACATGACCTGAAGAAGAGGTCCAGAGGAGGAAGTGGAAAATGGAGGGGGCCTCGGGAAGGGGAAGGGGAGGGCAGTTTCTCTCTCAGGTCAGCAAGCCAGAGACACCACACACACTGCTCCTCCCCACACTCTGCTTCCGCTGTTGAATAATTGAATTGGCGGGCTAGTGTTTACCAGACTCTTTTGGACTCCCCACCAAGCGATCGCGGCACACGGAAGCCCTTGGAATTGGGTGTGGACAGCACTTGCCGTCGGTGGGCCAATAAACCAAAATCATGGGTAGGATGAAGGAAAAGGGAAAAGAACAGAAATAAAATCGATTCCGATGCGTGGTACTCGATACCTATTTCGAAGGGGGAGCAAACTTGAAGATACGACTGGGCTACTATTCGAAAAGGGGGAACGAAGCAGGGAGCCAAGTCACCAGAGGGTATTGAAATCAATTGACGAGCAGGCACGGCGACATGAAGACGACCGAACAAAGGTGAAAAGGGGGCAGAGCCAGAGGGCGGGGTTGCTGGATTTCCCAAGTTTGCGAGGAGGCTCGGGTTCAAGTTGGTGTCGCGACCGTTCGTTGAGCCTACACACGCCTAGACGAATACGGCTAAGTTTGTCCGAGTCCACAGCGAGAGAGTTGGGAAAAACGAGTTAGTGGCAGCAGGAGCACATCTCCTGCCGACGTTGCTCCAAAGTGACTGACGACAGGGGTTGGAAGGCGCGGGACAGAAGGGTAGTAATGTACCCACGACAGAGACGAGGAAGGTACATTACGAACCCTCCCTCGAGTGTTTCGGTGGAGCTCTTTATCCCAGTCTATAATGGACCCCCTCGCTCATTCGTCCATCCCACCAGGCCTATAACAGCAGTAGTCGTATTTAAGGCAGGGTGCCATCTTGGAGCGGGCATTAATCGATCCCAGTATAGCGCTGCCTCTCCGCCTGGAGTGCTGCTGGAGTGGAGTGGGAGAGTGCGATCCCCAGCGCCCTGCCGTGTCCAGGTGTCGCCCCTCAGCCAACAAAGGCAAGGGCAACCAAAGGTCGGTAAAATCATTTTCTAGTGTAAGAATCAAATGCATGCACAACGGCCTGGACCCCAAAGTTTTTCATGAATTACCGAACTCTTTTCGCAACCAACCTCTGCCCGAGGTTCGGTTGACTTGAGATGCCATTGATGGTTGGTAAGAAAAATGTGCAGCCAGAAGAACAGAACCAAAATTCCCAGAACCAATCATGGCAAGGTGGAAGTAAAGCCTAAGCTTTTTCAGGGTCCGAATCGCACTACCGGAGCCCCGTACAGACCACAATCCGGCCTGGCCGCAGACTTTGAAAAGGCGACGGCGGCTTGCCTCGCGGGTCCGTCTTTTCGATAGGCTCCTCTGCTCAAGTCCAGGTGGCGCTTTCCATCTCTCGAGAGGGGAGAGTTGATACTAGCATGCCCTGTGTAGTGCGGGCGGAAGCGGGAAGCATGAATTGCGAATAGACAACATGAGCTACCAGAGGACATCTGCTCATCAAGTGATGCCTTGGTCTTACAAGCTTGCTTGAGGCTTGTCAATTGGGTTGTTCGAGCCCGTGATTCCTGCTTGAGGCTACCGTACCACCTGCAGCAGCGCTAGCCTTTGCCTAGAGAAGGGAAGAAACACACTTTGGAATCGCCGGCTCGAGTTGAAGGTCCTCAAGCCAGTAGGCCAAGATCGCCCTCAGCGATGAGGCAAGGGGCATTCGAACCCCTGGGAGACTGCGCCACGAGAACAGCATGCCAGCCTCGCGTGTCAATTCGACGGCAAAACGCCATTTCCCCCAGCCCGCGGTCAGTCGCTGCATTACCGAATCAAGATTTGATCGTCTTTTCTAGGCTAGTGTGGTCTTCGCGAGACAATGCTGTCAACTGATCTTTGGGTACTGGTTGGGGCCAATACTTGATGTTTACAATGCGATGCACAATTAGTGTACCGTACCAGAAAAAAACATCGACAGCTGTCGTTCTTTGGGCAATGGGCTGGCTTGAGCGTTAAAGCCAGGAATCGCCAGCCTGCGTCCACGAGACGCGCTGCGCTGCGCGACGTCCAGGGAGTCTAGCGGAATCAAGCACACAAGTGAGGGGTGGAACTGAAGGACGAGGGCACGCCAACGACGCTTTAGTCCTCGGCATTGACTGTATCAATTCGTTTCCTGCGTTATCTGCTCCAGATCCCTCTCGACCTTTCCGCTCCGCTCCACTTACACAAATAGGATGGGTGCTCTTCTAGCCTAGTCTGCCAGAAGGTGTTTACTTGGGCCCGACTTTGAAGGTAGCAGCAGCGGAAAGCCACTGCAGCCGAGCTGTCCGGACAAGGAGGCTAGAACAAAAGCAGTTCAAGGACGTCTGGATTTGATCAAAGGAGAAGAAAAAGGATTGTCTGTGGCCCGCCATCTCGGGGGCCAGCTAAACTCAACCTTTCTCCCTTCATGAGGGAGTCTAGGTGTTTCCGGAACAAGAGCTTCTTTTCTTCTAGTTACTCCACGTCAAGTGTACCTTTTTCTCCCTATCGCCTGTGCGTTGTCAGTGTCATTCTTCGCCAGTTAATGTGACCAACAGGTAGCCAGACGCTCCACCATCTCAACCAACAGTGAGCCTTTGGGGCGTGAAGAATCCCGGAGGGTCAGCACCGGTCCGCCTGCTAGCGGCATTTTTATTTTAGCTTCAGAGCCGTCACAAAGTATGGTACGACAGTGGTCATGGAACCAAGAGGCGAGGAACGGAATATTTTCCTCGCTTCCCCCTCCCCAACGCTGACGGCTCCCCGTCTCTGAGCAACCAAACACAAGTTGTTGTGTCTCTCACGAG